TGTCACCTCCTGATCTTGTCCCTCTTGGGTTTTGCAGCAGATAAATCACCTCTGCCCTTGCTGGAGGGCCATCTTTGAATCCTCTCACAGCTCTCACCAGTGAATTGGGTGGCTGCTACTGGTCTGGGACCGTCCCTAAGAGACACAGTGTCCCACGATGTGGGGTTCCTCCTTTTCAGGTTCCTTCTGGTCCTGAAACCCAGCTAAGCATCATGTTCCCACCATGTTTGCGGCACTAAAGATGGGGATGAGCCAAAAAAAAGGCTTCAGTGCTGCCATGGGGCTGCAAGCACAGGTTGGACATATCCTCTCGGGGCTGCAGGGGTGCTGCTGGCTCAGCTGGCTCTCCAGGACATCCCTGTCTTGCTCAGCTTTCAGCTGGACACGCTGTGATGGGTGCTCAGGCACCCTTGGCATTGCTGTCACGCAGTGACTGCAGCTTCTGGGCGTGCCTCCTGGGTTTGGGGGGCACAGGCTGTGCCTCGAGCATCCCCGGGATCCCAGCACCACCAGGCAGGATCCTCCTGAAACCCAGGTGTCCTCGGTGCTGGGGGTTTCGAGCCGGGGTGCTGGGTGGTTTCTGGCTGGTGCGACGGCAGCTCTATAACCATAAACCAGGCTGCTGCTGCCTGTCAGTGAGCGCAGGCTAAGGCCCTCCCGGGACAGCCTTGGCCTCTTTCTTGGTCCAGGCTTTTGCTGCTCCTTTTTAACAGAGACACTTTTCCCCCAGCAAAACTGGCAGCCTGTAAAAACGTGTCAGCGTTTCAGTTTTTTCACAATTAATGAGGTGAAACATCCTCGGAAACATTTCGCTGTAATGTTTCTCCAGTAGCTGAGACTTGCCCCTCTCTTACATTTTTCATATATGCCACTTGAGCTGAGAAAATTTCCTTCGAACTCAGCACATTTGGACCCCCCTGGCTTCAATCCCCCTCCCCAGAGCCTCCAGCATTCTTGGGGTCTTTGTGAGGCTGGGGCTGGGCTGGAGGGGGAGCTTTTTTTTTGGGTCAAGATGAAAAGATCAGAGCCCGTTCCTGGTGCCCAGAGCGACCTGGCAGCCCTCCTTCCCCAGAGACACCTCGTGCCCTCAGGTTGTTCCCAAGATGGGTTTGGACCTTGCAGCATTGTGCCGAGCAAAGCCGGGACCCTGTGGGCAGGGGATGGTGGCCCCAAGGGGCTTCTCCCTGGGGCAGCAGAGTGAAAGCACCCAGAAAATAGAATTCTAGCAATATGGTTTTGCCCCCGAGTTGCGATGCTGTGTTGGTTGTGTGCTCCCAGGCTGGGCAGATAACCCCCTCTGGGGGCTCCCAGGCTGTCCCTAAGGGTGTCCCAGGGCAGGGCAGCGCTGGCAATGTCCTCTGGAAAGGGGCTTCAGCCATGCTTGGATGCCTGCGCACCCCCGGATCACCCCTGGGCTCAGTCTCAGCTGAAGTTTGTGGGATAAAAAGAAACCGAATGCTGGGGGCGGCAATTCCCAAACCCGAGAGCTTTGCACCGCGATCCGAAGGGAAACGCTTCCTCCCCATCGCATGATTTAGGGGAACAAATTAAACAATTGCACATGAAGCTTTGGCGGACGTCATCGCCGGAGCTCTCCTCGCTTCCCCGGAGTGTATAAAGGGATGAAGGGAGTCCACATGTTTACCGAGAGAGACCATGGGAGAAACGAAAGACATTGTTTTTCCAAAGGATTTCTTGGCTGTAAAAGGCCTCCACCACCCTGCGGCTTCCCTGATGAAGGCCCAGCGTTAATTTGTTAAATCCACATCAAGTGCCCGGAGAACCCGTTGTTTATTTTTGCTAATTCAGCCGGCCGAGATCAAATTGGGGTTTTATTTGTTAAGGATAAACCTTAATTAATAAAAGCTATTTATTTGGTTAGAGCCGGCCGCAGCCCGAGGGTCAGATATGCCACGATCATTATTTCAAGTAAAACAAACCCAAAACGTCTCTCAACAGTTTGAAAAACGTAGAAACTCAGAGGGCTGAATTTATTTGTCTTAGGAAGAATTTACAGCTAATTCCCTCCAGGCTATTTCAACCCTTAAATTATACCCAAGAAGAAAAAAAGGGGGGAAAAAATGCCATTCCAGGCAGTGAAGGGAAGTAAATGTTACGGCAGATTTGATCATTTGGCTGGGAGGGAGAGGTGAAAAATTTAAAGCTTAAAAGGTCTTTGGCAAACTGCTCGCAAGTAAACGGAACGTGTGAAATAATTTAACGGCAGAAAACTATTCAGGGCTCCGGGGTCTGCGGCACGATGGAAAATGAAACACTCTGGGGGAGATGTAGCCTGGGTTTTTAGCAGGAGAGGGTTGAACTCGCTGCCTCCCAGCACAGCCCCTAAAAGAGGGGGTGTTCACAGGGACAGTGCTGGGCAAACGCTGCGTTCTGACATGAGCGTTTTGCAAAGAAACCCCCCAAACCGCGTGTCCAGAGGGGAGCCACCCCCAGCGGGAGACTGAGCTCAGCTGGGGATGGAGCCCCTCACCAAAAGCCATCCCTGAGCAGAGCATCCCTGCCAGGGGACGCCCCAGTCCCCGGGGCTTGTGTGTGCGAGGGGCTGGGGTTGGAAATGCTGTTGAGGTCTGGATCACAGCTGCACGGAGGTAGTTTATCGCTCACTAATAGAGGTCGTAAGTCAAAGCCAAAGCCTCGATGGAAATCTAGTGAAAATTACCCCTTTACAGCAGTCGGCGGCTGCTGTGCGGGAGGCTGGGGGCCCTGCCAGCGTGGGGCCCCCACTTTGGCAAGCCCCGTGCCCAGGTTTTGGCAGCTGAAACCCGCTGAGTCCTTCCTGTGGAAAACTGATGGAAGCACAGAGGAAAAAGGCAAGACCTGGAAAAGTGGGTGCTCAGGTGAACCAGTGTAGCTCTGACTCAGTGGCGCTGGGGCCGATGTCCTTGCAAATGGGGCAGGACCACTTGGTTCCCCAGTTCCCGGTGGCAGCATCTCAGCGGCACAGTGTGGTCCAGGCGTGCCAGCACCAGTGCTCCCACATGGAGAAGGGTTTGGGGGTCACCGCTGGCACCCCATGGCACTCATAGGGCAAAGTGTTCCCCACGAGGCTGCCCATATGACAGAGGTTTCTCAGGCCACATCCAGCACCCCAAAACTCATCCACACCATGGGCAAAAAGGCTTACCTGCTGTCTAACACATTGGGGCAATTTAAGTCTTTTTTTGTGAAGCACAGCAGGCCCATGCTGGTCTACGTAAAGCCCCTGCAGCTCCCTCTTCCCATCCTCCCTCCCACATCATCTTTCGTTATTTGGTAACGTTATCCTCTCCCCGCTACCCTCGTTTTCCCCCTTCCCTTGTGTTTTTTTCCTTTTTACTGGAAATTGTAATCAGTGGAAGATAAACACACCAAAGGTGGTGAGGGGGGGATGGCTCACGGATTCCCTCTGACCTTGGGGTTGGACAACAAAGCCAATGCCTCCAGCCATGCCCCAAACGAACCCCCAGGTTATAACTGACAAAGGCAAGGATTTGGCTCTCTCTGTAACCTCACAGATTGCTGCATTGGGGCAAAAGAAAGATGGCAGTGAGCTGGTTTCTAATTTTGTGAAACAACAAACTCTTACTCCTGGAAACCCATCAGGGTGGGGAACCAGTTTCCAGTTCCTCCATCAAGGTGTTGGTGAACCTGGTTAAATCGAGTTCCTGTGGATGGGTGGCAGCGAGATGACCGGGGGTCTTCAGGAGACCCAACCCATCCCCTTCCCCAACCCTTCTGCAACGCCGCAGAGCACTCAGTGATGCTCACCTTTGGAGAACTGATCTGGGATTATTAAAGCATCTTTGATAGAAGCAATCCAGCCTGACTTTGCACACCGTTAACCTGTCAGATGCATGCCACCAGCAAGTAGGGTGGCATTTATCTAGTCTGACAAGCCTGTGGTGCCTGGGCTAATGGGAAAAAGATGTTAATCTGTTACCGAGGCTCATCCTTGAATGGGACAGAGGACCCAGGGAGGCAACCTGGGTGTGGAACTGCCTGCCTGAAGTAGAGATGGGGGAAAATAGGGGGGAAATGAACATAGCAGAGAAGTGAGCCACCATCCCCCTCCAAGAAACTCCTTGGAGTATCCCGTGGGGTTTTGTGGTGCAGAAGAAGGTCCTTCTATTAAAACGAGCAGAAGAGGCTGAACAAAACACCCCAACCCAGGCACAGCCCAGGGCTTGCAACTCTCCAACCAGCCAGGAACTGCCGCACCCCAGCTCATCTTGACCCAACTTTGGTCTTAAATCTCCATTCCAGCATGACTTCAAGCCCTGCATGGGAATTGCTCGGCACTATCTGTCCCCCATGGCCGCTTAGCTCTTGCCTCCACGGGTTTGAGGAGATAGAAACCAGTCAGAAACGGGGCCAGATCCTACAGAGCTGATCTGAGAGTTAATTTAAGAAAGCTTTCCTCCTCCTCCTTGCTTACAGCCAAATTAGAGTGGGTGAGAGAAGGCATCACTTATGGAAAAGTCATGTAGCCAGATTTTAAATTGGGTCAAAACCAAAAGGGGGTTGTAAATTTTATTTATACTTTTACTAGGGTTCTGTTGAAATCATTGCCAGTTTGGCAATGCCCTTGGTGCCCCTTCACTTTTTGAACCAAGCTCCAGTCTATAAGAAGCCCTATGGGGTGGCCATAAACCCTCAGGGAAATGTTTCTCACCCTATTACATCTTGTAGCTCCTTCCCAGCCTTGCGGTTTCCAATTTGGTCTCAGGCTCCCAAAAAACTTAGGGACAGCCATGGCCGGACTTCATGTATTTTAATCCAGCGGCTTGTTAGCTCACTGAAGGAAAACAGGACCAAAAAAGGAGCTTGACTAAAAGGGGCAACTGGAAAGCAAAGACTGGCAGAACATTTGAAGCTGCAGGAACAAGAGCTAGAGGGAATCTGGAGAATTTTAGTTGTGAGCCTTTAAATACGAACAGCGGCGAAGGGCAGCCTGGGGTTTTCTGGCTGGGGAAAGGGCCTTGAAGCCACATGTATTTCAGGCACGGTGCCGTCCATCGTGTCTTTACCCAACAAATACAAGAGCACAGGCTGTTTCCAGCCCAAAGGATGGTCAACCAAGTCCAAGTGCACCTAGAACACAACATAAGACCAGAGAAATGCTGGCAGCTGCAGCAAGGCCCTGAGAGGTGGATAAAGCTCCTTTTCCTCCCCTTCCCATCCAAGGATGCTCCCCTCTCCTCATGGCCCCAGCAGCTTGGCCTCACCACGGTCAAAATGATGAAGCGTTCTCGCACGTGCCTGGGAGATGAGGAACAGAGCTGGTGGTGGTGCCCAGGTCCCACCTCCACATCCCAGCATCTCCCAGCCCAACACCTCATCCCTTACTGGGTCAGGGTGTCCCATCTCAGGATGGGACAGCCCTTGAAAGTGTTATACTCAGGCACAAAGGGACCCTAGAGCTTTGATGGAGAAGTTGTTGGTGGAAATTTCATGGCTTGAATTACTCAGAATTAAGGTCCAAGGAGGTTTTTCTGGCTTTAAAGATCTTGGGATCCATAGTTTCCTCCTGCTTAACAGCTTGGTGTTATTTTGAAGCAGGAGAGTTAATATCTCTTCCAGTAGGTTTTGTCACTTGCTCAAGTATCATCTGAAAATGCTGCACTTCTATTTAATATGTATCAAGATAGCTTATTAGCAAGTATTATTTCTTGAGCATATTCAGGGAGAGGTAATTCCTGCCATCATGGCCTCTGCAGTGATATAGAGCAGAAAACCCCAATATAAGCCTGCTGTGAACCAGAATGTCATAAAACTACTAAAATCAAAATAATTCCAAAATATTTTCCCACCAGTAGGTACAGATTGGATCCAGATTCTTTATTAACAGAAAGAATAATTAACCAGCACCTCCATAAGGAAGAGGGACAGCAAGACATGATGCTCATAAAGCTTTTGAAGGCAACTGACTGGGTATCTCAGGAAAATACTTCATAAACTTGCCTAAACTTGATGATATTAGTGACAAAGAGGAGACTAATCTCAGCCTGGCTGAAAGCCCAAGATGAATACTGAGAAACCAAACTACACCCTCAGCTTCATGTTTCCATGAGCCAGCAAAGCCAGAAATAAACACTGCGGAGGCTGAGCTCTGCGAGACACGGTGGTGTTCGTTCCTATCTCTGAAGACCGTGGCTGGATGAGCAGATGCTTGGCTGCTGTCCTGTGTCACCTCAGGGACATGCCACAGCCAGGGCTTCAGGGGAGGCTGGAGGTGGGAGCTGAGACCCACATCTCAGAGATGTTTTGGTGCTGAATTTCCATCACCATCCATGAAACCTTGACCTAAACCCTTAGCGAAAGCCAAGCCTAAGACACCTTGTGGACCACCACAGCTCTTTGCAAATGCTGGGTTTAACCCCAAGCTCCAGCAGGTCCTGTAATAGGTTTTGCTTCACACAGAGAGCACAGGGCTGCCCACGTGCTGCTCCCACCAGGGAGCACAGCTGGTCTGGAGCAGGACAGTGCAGACCCCCAAGAGGACTCGAGCCTGGCCCGGTCTCTGCGTGGAGTCTGTGGGGTCTCACACAGGTCTGGCTCTCATGTAGCCTCTTCTGTGCCTTCCCCACAGGTGAGAGCCTGAGCCAAAGCCGTGGGCCAGCCAAGAGGAAGAAGAAGCAGAGGAGGAACCGCACCACCTTCAACAGCAGCCAGCTGCAAGCTCTGGAGAGGGTCTTTGAGAGGACGCACTACCCCGACGCCTTCGTGCGGGAGGAGCTGGCAAGAAGGGTTAACCTAAGTGAGGCAAGAGTCCAGGTGAGCAAGGGTTTGTGTGGGAGCAAACAAAACCCTCTACCTTGTCCCCAGGTGGGAGCAGGGGCCATCCTCCCTCTCATTTCATCCTGCACGTGACTGTGATTGGTAGGATGGGTGCTTGGGGCATGCCTGCTCATGCCAGGTCCCTGCTGACCACCTTCCCTCCCCGCACAGGTCTGGTTTCAGAACCGGAGGGCAAAGTTTCGCCGTAATGAGAGGGCGATGCTGGCCAACAGGTCGGCATCTCTCCTCAAATCCTACAGCCAAGAAGCAGCCATTGAGCAGCCCATGGCGCCACGGCCAACTGCGCTGACCCCGGAGTACCTCTCCTGGACCAGCACCTCCCCGTACAGGTAGGCGCAGGAGTTGGGGAGGATGTGGCCATGGGACAGGCTGGCCCGGGATCCGGGGC